CGTTATAAATATGAAGTTTGAAATTTAGTTATTTTCCGCAAATCTTGTTAGTTAAATCGGTTACAAAAGAATATGACGTGGCAATCCGGGTTCACGGAACTCGGGGTGTTACATTATTTTTCTAATATGAAATTAAAACTAATTTGGCAATAAAAAACTCGGACTAAAGCTAAAATAAATTAAACTAATTAAATATTATAGTCCCTGACAACGACACTATTTTTTTTTGCAAGTGTATGGGATCATGGATAAGTAATAAAGGGATGAATGAGATGTCGTTCTCACGAGAACTATGTACTTAATCTAATATCAATCAATTATTATTCTAATTGAGTAACCAAACTTGTTTGAATGATTTATACTAACCAAACTAACAATTTTAGTGATCAAATTATAAAGCTTTTATAAATTTAGATGAAAAGGTTACCAAGATCTTGAATTCCCCTTATTAATACGTTTCAGTACAACTTAATAACATAATAATATATGAACATTCTTTTTGATCAATCTTTCTAAGTTAATTAAAAACATCTCTCGATGTCAATTAAATACATCCCCCTACGTACCTTCCTATATCTCTATGAAAGATACGAACATAAAAGCATACATTAGAAATATTAGAACATTTATAAAAATTATGCAAAATATAACGGTATATTTCTATTCTCTATCGAATTTTACAATAATTGTTGTAACGTGCTGTCAATCCTATTGTTTCTCTTGAAATCAATAAAACTCATAAATCAATCTAATTAGCGATCAAGTAATTGAAAAGCATTAAACACAATAACATCCAAGAATAATCATATATTTTGTGTCAAATTATCGAATTAAATAAAAATTCCTAATAAAGGTTCATCAATATCTTAGTAATTAAATTTCTAGCCCGACATTACAAAATTTCAAAAAAATATGTTTAATTGGAAGAACATAACCATGATTATAATTTGATGATGAAGAAGATTCATGTTGAAATCTTGAATCTCTTCAATGATTTTTTGATGAATCTCCAATATATCTTATTGTTGTCTCTCCAAAAATCAAGGTTGAAACTCTAATTTATTGAAAATTTGTAATATCCCTTTAATTCTTACAAGAACAATAGGTTGGCCTCTCCTTTATGATGATGATATATGAATAATGGTGTATGAGCGGTGTCTCTTGACGAATGATTATGTTGGGTATTTATAA